TCCTTGGCGTACAACATCTTGAACCGGTTCTTCGTGAGAGGCTGACCCGGCTCCGGCACAACCTCAATGATGTCAAATATCAGGATCTGGAAAAAGAATGTAAGCACCCAGTCATAGTACTTAGTGATAGCTTTGACTAAAGTCAATGGTAATAGTTCAGAGCAGTGAATAAAAAATACCCCCGCTGCACCAAACCTGCAGACTAAGCAAATTTTCATTTGCCTGAACTGATTTACAATTAAATCCATCAAAACCAAAAAAATAACCAGTTTTGTAAACTTTCACCCCCTTCCCCCACAAACCTGGGGTCACACATTTACCATACATTATGGAGACTTTATCGAACTGTTTAGAGTAAAAAGTCGGCTTTCACATTGGATGTTTAGGTCTAATAGCACAGTACTATAATAAAAAAATAATAATTCCAGGTATACACTCACCCTCCCCCTGCTGGTGATGTCCTCGCTGTAGTTGTAGTTAGTCCCGAGAGCTATGTAGCCCTTGAGTCCACTGCGAGTTCCTTCATACGCTAGACTCACATTCTTCAGACAAGTCACATGTTCCCAGTCCTCCAGCTCCATCTTGGTGTTGGGAATAATCTAAAACAAGAATATGTACAATTATACCTGACCTCCTACGACAGCTGATAAGAATAAGAATAAGAAATATTTAATCCCATTGATCTTTATTAAAGAAATAGGACAGGTCATTTGTTATACATAGTTTACAAGGTGATTCAGTGTTTACAGTACAATATATCTAAAATTTAAATAGCTACATGAAAAAAACACCTTTATTTTAACTTAATCTTCAAAATCTAATATTTATTTCACATCTTATATAGATAATCATCAATTTTGTGAAAAGGATTTTTAGCCGTACAGTCATACAGTTTATTTTTTTAATAAATAACCAATTTTGCTTCTTCAGGCAGCTTATTAAAAAAATTGAATTTACCCTATATGAATTTTCAGTTTTTGCCAATTTTTCTGCAACTATCCTCATATTACCAATTAAATAAAAAATATCTTACTTACTTCCCAAGAAACGGGGGAAAACAGCAATACACTAAATCTTTCTTGAACAGGCAGTGGAAACCTGTCGTCTCTTTCTTCTATTGACAGTTCCTAAAAAAACAAACGGTAATATAAAGAATCAAATATTGTTTTCACCAAAAGCAGATTTTTTTTATATTCTATATAATTTAGTAACACATACAAACTGATTGGTTTGACACAATGGCAAAGATTTTATTTATTTTTCATTGTACTTAATAGTTCCTGAAACTGCAAATTTTACAAAAGCACATTTTACAATACATGTCTGCTGATTCAATAGTAACAATTAATTAATAAGAGTCCTTGGAGGCTAGCGGCCATCTTGGATAATTTCAAACAGCTGCTGAAGAGTTATTTATCATTCGAAAATATTTTTTCAAACACTAAAGTGATTATAATTAAAATATCTAGTATAGTGTGAAGTAATGTTCTTTGTAGTTTTGAATTGGTCTCCAAGGGAGTCCATGAAAACTAACAACCATCTTCGATTTGCCCGTCATAAGAGCAATGTTAATTTTGTAAATTTCAATCAGCCGCTGAAGAGTTATTTACCATCTCAAAATATTTGTTCAAACACCAGAGTGATTGTAATTTAAATATCTAGTATACTGTGGGATTAGACATTTCCTTTGTAGTTCTTTAATTGTTTTTCGAGTTAGAATGTCTAGGCTCCAAGAACTCTTAAGAAGTTAAATGTTTTGACAAAACAGCACTGTCAAACGCCTCAGTCCAGGGTCGCTTAAATACCTTAAATCCGCTTTTTGAGTGGCATAAATACACCATACAGAAATAAATACTTTAGATACTGACATTGGTGAGCAGGTACAGACTCAAAGCCCATCAACAAAGCTACTCAAGCTGATGTAATGTATTTCCCCAAGATTCCGCGACAGGTTTTTTCTATTTTTTATTATTATCTAAACCACAGGAAGGTGATGCAGACACTTTTAAGGGAAAGCGGCCAAACCCATTAAATGTTTCCTAATTAAACCGGGAATCAAACCAGTTTCTCGCTCTGAAGGCCGAAACAAAACCCACTAAGCTAACAAAACACACCAATTGTATTGTAAAATCCATAAATTAAACTATATTTTTACATTTCAAATTGACTCAAAAATGTATTGCCCATACACTGGGCAATTTTATAATTTTATCAGAGTATTACTTCAACCACTCTAATTTCCTGATTAAAATTGTATCTAATGTTATTCTAGTTATTGTTTCAAATAGACAGATACCAAAATAAGTGTTTGAATGCATTACAACAGATTTGTTTCAACATTTACTTTAAAGTTACCTAAAAATTCCAAACAGATTTTATGAGGCTTTTCCACTTACTTTATCTTCTCCGTTAAACTTATAATACTGGTTGGTGGTTTCAGCTGTACTGGTGACCAAACAGTAGGTTTTACTCTCCAGATGGTAAGTGATGAAATGAGGTGTGCAACGTAGCGGCACCTTCCGGACAGGCCAGGACGCGTCGTAGGACAAGTGAGTCGGCAACACGCAGATACGCAATTCACCCTGCGAAAACAGAACCAGGTTAACAGTACCAATATACAGTAGTTTATTGATGGACAGAATGTGAACCAGTTGTTATAAATACAAAATGCTTTTCATATTCGTGACTTTTGAAATGGAAAAAATTTCAACTGTACCAGTTGATCACTGAGTACAAGATTAAAACGCACTTGTACACTTGATTTTTTTGACACAATACACAATTTAGAAGTAACGTCTCATTTCCATTTATCCTTTGGATTTCGGAGTTTGTAGAAATAAAATTACTTTATTCAACGAGTTTATTTTCCGGCTCTGATAAAAACCTGTAACTCAGAACGCTTGTTAAAACTTTGAAACTTTGTATTGAGTTGGCTATTGACTATGTTACAAACTATTTTTTTAAACAGTTAAGTACACTTAATCGTCAAGATCTGTTACCTTCTGATTGAAATACAGAAAGCCCTGAGGACAGTTGACGTTGTTGAAGGGAGCAAAGCAAGTGACTCCGCCATCGATAGTCATGGGGTGGATCCGCAACTCACCCCTGTATGTGAGGAATATCCAGTGAGGGTGATTTCCACACACAAACACCTGCAGAGCAGATAGAAAATATTTTTATTGTTGAAAATTCCCATTTTACATTCAAGAGCGGTCTAAACAAACCCCCAAAACTGCCCCTGGATACGCCACTGAGGATAAGACTATGAATGGCAGCAATGTTGTGTTGACTACTGTTACCAAAGTGTACTTTGTACTTTAAACTTTACTACTAAAATTGTTTGTCTTTGTTTACTAGTTTGTAACTGATATACATTTTTTCTGTATTTATCATGTAATGTCAAACCTAAATATAAAAAATTCCTTGATGTAACAATGCTAATCCAGTTGAACTGACCATAAAGTCAATTGCCATTTGCAATATTTACCACTACATAACGAAAAAAGATTGTGGATGAGAATGAAAGTTAAAAGTAGGTTTGGTTGGCATAATTTTCTTTTAAAACATGAATATAACATATTCCAATTTTTTGTGTATATAGTGTAAAGTATTGTGTTTCTTTTTTCTTGTGGCAGTTAGGACTCTTTCCTGTTCAGGTAAGCCTGCTAAAAAATTCCTTAAAACCTAGGCCCTTGTGCTTTATGTTACATCCTTAAATTTTAATAAACACTGATTTAAAGAATGTATTTCTATTTTTACAAGTTTTCAATTAAAATCTTACACAACAAAATAAAACTCTTTGTAACCTCCTTCTTTAACAAAAGTAAGCCTATAACAAAAGAACATTAACTTGAAAATCAATTGGGTCTTATCCTGATCAAACTCTGTCAGTTAATACTGTTGAAAAATATATGTGGTATTTTATTAGTGTTGAACTTAAATAGTTTCTTTCTGGTATTTTAATTTGATTCAATACTTACCCCGTTGTAACCAGCAATGTTGCCGAAGTATCTCAATTGATTTACTCGAGGGCCCGAGCCAGGTCTACCCCTGTAAAAAATAGAAATATGATTATAAAATATTATGTTTATAAAACATGTAAATATGGATAGTAATTAATCATCATATTTATTTTTTCTATACATGGCACACAGTAAAATCAGTGTTAGTTCTGAACACGGTACTGTCAGAAATAATTATATTCAAAAATATTTACCATTGAAGGTCAGCCTAATTTGTCAGGTAATCTAGACTCTAGTGTACTATTGTAATACTTAATTAGTTTGTTTCCCAAAAAAGGGTTCCTTAAGTCATAATCTCAAAATAATAATGACCTTTGTTTTTTCTGCTCTTCGTTGAGTCGAAGTAGAATGCTCTGCTGTATTCTTTTGAACCTCATCTTGAGATGGCCCTTGGGATAACGGTACGCCTCATACAGCAGAACTTGGTCGTCTAGTCGTAAGATCAGTAGAGGACGAGAACTCATGTTGCCCAGGGGCGCCACTAGCAACTCACGGACTTGGTGCTCACCTGAACAGCCAACAAAAACGATAAGATAACCTCCAATAAACTAAGGTATGGCCATTCAACATCACTTGCAATTATGGCTAAATTGTTAAATTTTTAATGAGCATTTTTAAAGACGATTTTCTGCTACCTTGGCCACAAATGATCTCAAATCTCTAATAAAAATTACCGAGCCAAGCCAAAAAGTTTTTCCCAGCCTCTAGTCAACTGTTAGCCCTTACCCGCAAAACCCTTTTAGTAAGTAAACCAAACAAAACACTTACCATGGTCATGAGAGGCACCAGAGCTCTGCGCCACAGTAGGGATGGCACCCAGACTGTCACACAACACTCTCAGCCCAGTACCTATCCCTGCCACCAGGTAGCTGAGCAGCAGATCAGGTACAGAATACATCTCTAGATGGCCATTCTCTCTAGTCACTATCAGCCAATAGGTGGCCTTCACCTCCATGTAGTACTTGCTCCACCTGGCAGAGAGACGAAGGTATTAGTGATACATCAGGCAATATGATGCAGTACAGCCATTATTGTGCCTAAGAGATACAGTGTAGACTTACCAAGGTGCAGCTTTGCCAGCCATCTTGGCAGGGCCAGCCCTCTCTGCGGCTCCTGGCTCTCCATACAACAACTCGTCCTCATCATCAACCTCTCTGCAACAAAACAACAGAAACTAAATGTCCAATTATTTATTATTTCAGTATAACCAGTCAGGGCAAAATATTTTATGTATGACCAAATGAGAAAGAATGGTTTACAATGCCACCAATACTTAAGTGGTGACATTTTTTATGTATAACAACATTATGTACACAACGTTTATGTAACATGTCACACAAAGAAATAAACAGGAAACCAGACTTTTGTATAAGCCAGTACGTCAAATTAAAAATAAATTAGATGGACAAGTCACAAAATTTTAGGAAATTTTTGTAAAAAATATCTTGATCTTTGTGCAAGATTACATTTTGGGATTTCCTGAATGCGAGATTCGTTTAAACTGTCAGCGATACAATTTCACAAAAATCACCAGTGAATGATGATAATGTCTCCACGATCACAGGAAATGTTCACGAATTTGTCACTCTAGCGGGACCGATAGATAATGACGTCCCTGCAATTACAGGAGATGCTCACAATTTCGCAGATATGACAGGTTACGATGATGAGGTTTCTTTGATCGTGGGAGGTAGTAACAATTGTGCCTATCACGGTCATGATGAAACTGGATATGATAAATAGAGATTTAAAAATTTTGATTGTTTCTACCTATATATTTTTACCAAAACAGTAGCTGTTTTTTTTATGCAACAATGCAATTAAGACATTGAATTGATTCTGTTTCCTATATTGGCTTTTCATGAGCTTCTATCAATTTATTTTTTATATAGTAAACTTTTTGCACAAGGAGAAAAAAGTTCCCACCTTGAAAATCAGGAAGAAAATAACAGTTCTACCCCAAATTCAAAGTACAATCCTGTCCACCCCAACAAAAATTGCAGGATCCGATTTTGGATAGGTACCGACAGTGATCTTATGAGTGTCAAACACAATAAGCGCAAACATAAGGAGAGAACGTTATCAACCCAACTATGTCTTACCTTTTCACATTTCCTCGCGCTGACTGCTGTTCAGGGTCCAGGTGTAAATCAGTTTCGGGGAGCAAGGAGGAAAACATCCCTGACACATCACGGTAAGCGTGCATCGCTGTTATGTGCGGTTTCTGCAAATAACACTTTCAGATTAGTGCAATGAAATCAGTTTGGTTGAAATATTTTACTACAGACAGTTTTATAAAATACTTTAATTGAATGAATTATTTAAAATTAAAAGCACATAAACAACAGAACTTCAGTATCACTTAAGATTTTCTCATTGCACCAGAGATATGGATAGTAAATTATAATTTCATTACCACAGTGACAAAGTGTCATGTTTTTTTAACCTGAATTTTAGTTAAGACCAAATTTTTCTCAAGCCAGAGCTATTTTTGTATAAACCCATTATGTCATAGTGCAACCTTTACTCAAGATTGACACTCTCAACTGTGTTAATTGTACTCTTCAGTGTAATTCAATGTTAAACGTACCGAGTTGATGATGTCCTGCTTAGCGATGAGTCGAGCGGAGGACTTAGTCTCTCGCAGCGTCAGACCCACCACCTGTCCGTCCTCCGTTAGCAGGAACACATAAGGATCTACGGAGGTAGCGTGAACCAACGGAGATCCCAGGTCTAGCGGCATGTGTTGTATCTGCTCCGACCCTTGGAGTAGTCTAACGCCCATCTGAGAGACCTGGCAACAAGGAATGTTCATGTGAAAAACTCTTCTCTAATATATTAGACGGAGGAAACGCAATTTATAAAATTGTCTTGGTATTTTTGAGGTTATGTAACATAATTTAAGAGGCAGCTATTGACCACGGTTGATCGAGGTTCTACTGTATATCTCTGGATAATAAAGTGGATTGTTGTACACTCGGTTTTCAAAATATAAACTGTCAATAACTTTGTCTCATACAATAAGCAAAAGTGGATTTACAATTTATATTGTTCTTACCTGGATGATATACTTGTTAGAGCCGAGATTTCCAGCATAAATTGTTGGGCCCTGGGTGTTGAAACCTGAACTGTCCATTTCATTGATTTCTTGACCAGTTTGGAGAATCTAAACAAGAATAATATTTAATTTGCAAGAGTAATGAATATAATTATGCCTCTATTTATATGGTGGCAGAAAATTGTACGGTGTTTTGTTAAAATAATTGGTAATGAATATATTCTGCAATAGTTCGTAACAACTATCATTCTTTTCTTTCACATCGTTCTATTCTAATGTAGTATTTGGCAGCACTCTTTTCAATTATTGCTCAATTTTGACCTGTACCAACTGTATTTCCCTTGGTTAAATCTTTGCTTTGACTTTTAATAACTTAAAATTTGTAAACTTAAGGATACAATTTTTAAAGTTCAGTGAATTCCCCTATCAGGAATTAGCTATTCCTAGGTGGCATGGCAAGTCCTAGACCCAAGACAAATTTACTTTTTAATTTTGATGTCCCCAGAGGCCAAAACACTATTATGTTAAATTGTATAAAATATTCCAAATGTAAACATTTACTAAGGGCGTTGTAAGTAAGGGCCGTTATTGTATACCGTATAGCTCTGTAGTTTGTGAGTATTCCACAATGATACGCTATGCTGCATACTGGCATCATTGAACTCTGTAGCTCACAAGTACGCTGATATATTACAATTTTTTTTTTACTATTCAATCCTCCGCTGCATGTGAGATAAGGCTACGGGTAATTTTTTTAACACATAAAACATATTCGATGCATACATTCAAACATTTAATGCAATGAGTAGGAAGTGCGGAAATGGGTTAGGGAGTTTAATAACGGTCATGAAAATCTCCATGCAGAACGCTCGGACTGGCCTTTAAAATTGACTAAAATTGATTAAAATTGTTGATTGAAAACTGGGTTGGCTTTAAATTGACAGGTAGGATTGAAACTCAGGGTGAAGATGGTTTTATGATTAGAATGCAGGATTTTGTCAGCATTCGCTATAAGATTGGCATTTAGTGACAAGATAAGTAATGATTAGGTCCCACCTGCTGTTAGGCAAAAAGAACTCTCTCTACATAGTCTGTTAAAGGCCATACAAACTTTCATTACTCTGATTGAAATACGCCTAGCAGTTTAACTGACTTTTTTGATACATTGATGAATTGTCAGAGGGTTTCTTACCATGGATGATTCAGCTTGGCTCAGAATAAGGAAGGCATGGATAGGATCTTGGGACTCATCCTGTATTGTATCCCTCCCTGCCACGATCCACATGTCTGTGATACCAGTCAGCTCAAACGTGGTAACAACCTGGAAAAGTTAACATCAACCTAAGTTTACATACAGTGCACTCACTCACAGATTTATTTCAAATTCAAACTGATGCTTCAAACTTTAGATGGTTAGGACCAAGAGCGCTCACAAAGTCGCAGAAAATTTTTTCAAGTGGAAAACAAAACTGATATCTTGTTACATGTAAAAGGTCTTCCCTATAAACATTTAACCAGCTGAGATTCTACCAAAACATTCACAATAATCTTAATTGTCTTTAGAATCTTTGCATAGAATTTTAAACCGAACTAAAAGTTTACCGGTTATTACAGGTTATCCAGTGTTTCATCAAAATAAAATTCAAGGACAGTTCCAGGTTCAAAAATCTTAATTTTTAGGACAAAACTTGCCAATGATAACAGCAAAACTTACTTGTTAAATACCTGCTAGTAAGTTAAAACCCTTTCTGCGGATTTCGTGATAATTTATTGCAATCACAGCCACATGGTTTTTTTTTATAACTTTCGATCGTGGCAAAATTTGTCATTCATTTCCCGCGATTGTGGCAACATCCGTGATGATTTTCTGAGATCGTGGCAACATCCATGTTATCATGCAATTGTAGTAACATTAGTGATGATTTTCTGCGATCAGAGCAACACTCTCTATATCTCGCGATGTCAGACATTTGTGAAAATATTTTGACGATGATGATTTCCCGCAATTGCAGCATTTTCGTGATCATTACTTGTGATCACAGAAAAATCTATGATGGTTTCTCATGATCACGGCAACACACATGATAATGTCTTTTGATCGCAGCAAGAATATATCTCACAATCGCCACAATACTGTGTGATAATATACCGCAATCATGACAACACCTCTGATTTCACACAGTCTGGCCTAAAAATTTCCTCAGTAAAAATCTTAAAAAATACAATATTAATTTACCTTACTACTTCCTTCTAAAGAAGCTAACTTGAAGATGCACTGATTGTGTTGTGAATTTTTTGAGTGTTGTCGACTGCCTGGAACTCTTTACCTGGGTCCCATTAATTTATCCGTTCATTCGTTCTCTAAGCAGGCCTATTCCTAAGCCAAGCGCTCTTTCTTTCAAAAACTACTTCATCCCATAGGCATATAAGTTAATTTGTTTCAAAAAATACTCTTGATCAATTTATTTTGATAAACCTATCACTGACAATCAGTATATTCAAAAAGATTACCGGCACGTTTCACTCTACAAGAACTGACCTGTGGTCTCACAGAACGCTGCAGCACACACAGAGCACCATTCTTGCCGTAACCGGAAGTAGTTACAAGCTCCACATCAGGATCTGTGTTGTTAGAGAACTCCTCGGACAGGAAGGCTGGCTCCCCCATCGACACATTACCACAAGGACCGATGTTCAACAGACTGTCACAAACCTAGGAGAGAATATAAGTGAGTTGTGAGATTACCGGCTTGAATAATCCAGGTCATTCTAAATACAAAATTATGTGAATAATGTACTGTGATTAGTTTTTAGTTGTGAAAAATTTACTACTTTTTGTTTCACTTTTTGAACCCAAGACAATTTTATTAATTTTTTTTTTCATTTTTAATTAATCTTATGAAGCAAAACACAGCAAGAGTAAGTTAAAAGACAATAAAACTACAAGGACAAAAATATTAGTGTGTTTGAACTAAAACCATACACTAACACAAACCTCAAACGAGTATGAGGTCAATTGTATAGAGGTCTGAGTTTCACTGCCGTACACTTCTAGCTCATCAAGATCTCGAATGTCTGCTACGTCGGAGGCCATCCAATCACCTGAAGAGGGAATTCAATTAATAATACTAAACATTGATGGTATCCTCGTATATATAGTAATAATAGTGAGAATTGTTTCAAATGGTTTTTGTGAGAGGATTTTTATCTTTTTATTTCGAAAAAAGTAAAGTGATAACAATTACTTTCAGTGAATAAAAAATAAGCAACAACAAAGTAGGCCTACAAAGAACAAAGTAATGTTTGATGATTAGATTGCCTCAGCATAAATTAGAATATTATACAAAGAAAACCACCTATGCAGGATTGAAATTGTTACAATATTTACCAGTAAGCATCCGGCAGGAGACAAATTTTAAAAAATTCAAAAAACTTTTAAAAGATTTCTTAGTAAAAAATCCTTTTTATTCATTACAAGAATTTGTAGATAAAAAAAATATTTCATTTGAATTTCCATTTATTTTTCATAATGGACATTTGCGTAGATTTATGTTTTAATGTGTATAATTTGTATATAGATTTTGACTCTATTCAGATACATGTATGTTTTATATATGTTATATATTATTGAATAAAGACTATTTGAATCTTGAATCTTGAAGAGCAGGCCTTGAATGGTGTGGGGCCTAGTGCAAACATTTGGAGCGAGGTTTTAATTTTTATTTTTATTTTGAACCAAGCGCAGGGCAACACGAAGCACGGCAATTTGCATGTCCCTAAGGCCGGTTCTGGATGATTGTAAGAAGTAAATATCTTTCAGAAAACTTAAACAGCGAGAAAAACATACACTAAAGGTTACAGCCTATTTGCAAATTCTCGGCTTGATCGAAAATCTAAGCCTTGCATACCCCTCGTTAGTAGTTATCCTAAATATAATTGTACACTCTTAATTAGAAAAAAAAATATTAAAAATTGTTTATATTTAAATCACATTTCCACTTATCAATCTTTAGCTTGTCAAGAATTATATTTTAGGCCTACCTAGGGTATCCATTCTTCTCTTTTTAGTTGGCTGCTGAGTCAGGTCAATGGTAGGAGGTTTGAAACCTTCAGTCGATCTTTTCTCTGTAAACTTGAGCAACAACGAGTTTCCTAATCTTGAGCCCAAAAACAAGTAGTTGTCCGCATAGACGGAAGTCTGCAAATAAAATGAATTATTATAGACACAGAGAAACAACCAAAGCAATATCTTCCTCGGCCGTTCTCTTTAGATACGTGTTGTCTGGCTGTCCGTCTCAACCTTTCTCTGCTGTCTCCAGTATGCCTCAGGGATCACTTTTGGGCCCAGTTCTTTTCTCAATATTTATTAATACAGCACACTCAGGGATGAAAGTTCTGCTCTTTGCCGATGATGCAAAAATGATGATTAAAGTTCTTAAAAAAAATCAAAACCCTGAATGATTGCAAAACTCTGCAGAACAGTATTGATTTATTGATGAAGTGACGATAATGACCTTTAAGACGATAATGACCTTGAATATTTCTAAATGCTTTTCCAGGTCTAGCTCACCCATCATCTTTCCCTAATTACTTAGGGGGATTAGGAGGGGGACAGTCAACCCCTCTCACGTTCTCTCATGATCAAGGAATTTGGCATCATGCTTTCTCCAAATTTAAACCCTCAAGAACATATCAATTATATCTGCAAGAGAGCTCACTCTCCCATATCATTATAAGGAACAGCCGTAACATGTTCTCTATCAATGCATTGAGGATTCTCTTCACCCATCTAGTCAGGCCTTTAGTTGAGTTTTTGTCACCTGTTTGGAGCCCTTACCTGCTTGGGAAAATCAAGAGTCTTCAGAACATTCAGACCCGTTTAATTCTTCCGGTTGGTGTGCTGCTGGGTTTCAACTACACTGTTCCAATCCATGATCTACAACTTCAGTTGAACTTGATGCCACTACATATACCCGATGTGAAATCAGTGACCTACTGTTCCTGAGGAAGCTTATTACCTCGGACATTGATACCCCTGATCTTTGCAAGTTGGACTTCCCCACATCTCGTCACCTGCGCCAAACCCATCTGTTTGCTAGACGACAGTACTCGAACCAGTACATGTTCTACAGCACTTTTCCTCGCATCCAACTCTTGGCCAACAGAATACCGGATGACATCGACCTCTTTTCTACACGAGTGGTGAATCTTTCAAAAAGAAATTGTTTGGACTAGAAGGCGCTAGATTGATTTGTTGTTGATGTTTCCAAGTTCCAAGTTAAATGTTTCTAATTTATTTATTACTATTGTTATTTATTATTCCTATTGAATTAAGACAAAGTCCCATTGCATGTTTGGCTTGACCCTTAGTTGTAGACGAGTTGTTTAGTGCAAAAATTGTAAATTTGTTTATTTGTCTGTCTGATAAACATGGTAAATCAATACTAACTATATAAAAAGAATACTAGAGAATACTTTAGAGAGTAAAGAGCATAGAGTAAATAACACTTACACAAGTAGTCAATACACTAGCAGCAGCCTTTTCAAAATGAAAGCTCCTGACACTGCGCATGCTGTCTGCGTGGAGGGTCAGAACGTACAGTTCTCCATTCTTGAGCGAGATCACGATTCTGTCATTTGAAATGAAGCTGGCCTGAGCTCCTTCTAAGCTCATTTTTACATTCTCCTGAATCTCTGAAATATGCAGCTTTACTTAGGGAAACTTCCTATTTACAAATATTAAATATTTAAAAATACTTTATTTTATTACAATATTTATATCAATACTCTTTCCTTGCTACTTGTAAACTAATACAAAAGATTTTTTTAAACCTTACTCGTTTCATCTAACCAGGATTATAAGTATTGCGAGTATTGTGACTTTCTAAAAATTCTTTACTATAAAGACTAAGTAAGACAAGACAACTAACTCTTTCAGGTAAACATTTATCTTACAACTACAAAAATCAGATTTTAGGTGCTTTTTAACTAACTAAGAAAACAAAAAGAAACTCTTAAAAAAAATTGAACCGAAACATCTGTTGGATGCCAATGATCTTAGAACAGTGGCTTAGAGCCAGGAACAAACCTAAAACAACCTAATTAACTTAGCCTACCTGTTATTTGAGACAGTTGGCTGGTTATTCTAATTTGAATAAAGAAATAAATCTTTTTGTGACTTTTCTTGGAACCATTTATTAGTAAAATGCTACAGAACTGAACATTCTTGTAGGATACCAGAAAACCTCTTTCTTTACTCCACACATTTCGCACTTGGGTTTAAACCTAAGAGGCCAACGTAAGAATAAAAAAAAAACACAATACAAAAAATACTTACTCAAGGGGAACGCTGTGGAGACCTCAGTAAGAGAGTTAAGAGAGATGCCGTACGGAGGAACGCTCTGGTTCAAGTAGATGAGTGAGTTGATGCAAAATATGACAGTTCCACCGAGAGGCTTGCGTACTGCTAGAGCTTGTGTACAGTCCATCGGCAGGTTGCCCACAGACCAGATCACGGGATGAACCCGCTGTTGAATGTTGAGAGAGATGGCTACCATGGCACATGTGTCTCGTCTCACGGCTATCCGTCTAGAATTAATATAAAAACCACCTGTTGTTATATTTAGGTCTTACATTACACCTTTATATGGTTGGCCTTATTTGGTTGTTAAAAGATATATTTATTTTTAACGACTTCAGTTCAATATTGCTGTTAACCTTACTGAGAGAGAGAGGTTCACATCTTAAGTCTTGACACAAAAAACACAACGCTGCACACAATAATTTGAATACTACTGATCTGATCATGGAAGGTTTAAAGACACAAATTAGCAGGATTTTTTTTTACACAAGATGGAATTGCCAAAGTATACACTTAGTATACTTTCTTGATTGCCTTCTTAAATTAGGCCTACTTCGCAATTAATCTAGAAGAGGTTAAGTAACTTTTCTGTCCAAGTATTCCTCGAGTGGCGTCGAAACCAGTCAACTCGAGGATTATTTGGATAGAAATTTAACTCAACCTTTTGTAGATTTTTTTTTTTAATTATGTGAGTATTGCCAGTAGCATAGACATAACAACATGAGCTTGGCATTAAATAGGGTACCCTAGATAAAAGTTCCCTGGCTACTAAGGTTATTAATTCCCATCCTTGCAGGTGTCAGGATCAGTTCTTCCTCTTCGTTCTTACCCTCATCAAACTACAACACTTAACTCCAATGATGGAACTATTTAACATCAACAATGTAAAACTTAACTTACCCTGGAAACGTTTTCACAGGCTCATAGAGAATCAGCAGAGTAGGTTCATAATAGCCGTAGAGAAACTGAATGTCAATAATATTGTCTAGCTTGGCGTCAACATCTTTCAACACTATCATGTAGGATGCCAGAACGGGAGCTTTGTTCTGTGGGCCGGTAGTTGTAGTATCTTCAGACAACATATCACCTTCGTCAAGTCCTATGGTCTCTCTGCGGAACGGAAGAACTACTAACTGTCGTCCGTAGACAAGCATTACGGCACATCGTCCTTCAGGGTCTACTCGTATTATAGGGATGTGAGTGTGTTGCGTCCATCCTCCCTGATAACATCGTGAGGTTTAGGCCTACATGACACTAGTATTTAATACTTTACTTTTCTTAAGTTTTGTTAAGTTATGTTAATCTTGTGTCCGATTATAAGCCTTTGGAGCTCAAAGGGTCGAACAATATTTTTAAAAAATTTCAGAAGACACGATGTATCTGCCATACATATAACTGATTTCCATCAACCGTTGTTCATAGTTTAGGTAAACAAAAATAAAAGATAGTGGGTCAAATCACTCTATAAAGTGTTGACTAATGGTAAATTTTAAAAAGTTATCAAAGAAGTATTTCTAACTAGGTTTTTGGGTATACACAACTAAAATAATTATGTTAAAAGCAAAATTAAAAATTGATTTATCCGTCCATTATTTTTTAAGTTCAAATAGAAATAAATAAACTAAAAAAGTATTACTAGGACTAAAGCTTACTCGTATTTCTTCTTCTTCGAAATAATGTAGTGAAAGTGTTTTCAGGTCATGAGTATCCAGATCGTACTCAACGACGCTTAATTTTGCATCTCTAAAACTTAACAACAGTGCATCTCTGGTTGAACCTGCTAAACTGACAGACTGCATGGACATTATGTTTCCAAACATGGTGTACGTAGCCAAACATTCCATCTTCATTTTAGGAGGAACGTCTTAAAAAGAAATAAGAAACAAGTTGCAATTAGTTTGTAAGACAGTCATAGGTGAAGGTAAAAATTATTCATTGCTAAAATTTCCTCAATATTGATCAGACACTAGCACGATATGATAGCGTGTAATTTTTTTCGTCTATGTTTTTTCTATGTAAATAATCCAAACAAACCATGTTGCTGTCTAACGTTAACGTTTTGTTAGATCCTCATTGACAGCCAACAACAAAAATTACAAATGGAATCCGAGTCCAGATACCATTACACTTCATTTCAAACTCGCAGCCTTCAGATTGTAGGCAAGCACTTTAACTATGCCTTTCGGCAAGTTAATGCAAGTTAACGACATACAATACGTAATGCTATGTTGCAGACTAAAATTAAAATCAAATGGGTAGTGCTGATTGATTACAGTGTGTTGGCTTTAAACCCTGAAGAATGCCGTAATATATCCAAAGTAAGATTGATTATAACTTAGCCCCAGTTGCTAGGCCTATTTCAAATCGTGGTATCAATCCATCGTGCTAGGCCTATTTAACAAAATGGCGATGTTATATAACTTAGTAACAAGACCAGGGGTACCTTTTTAGAAAGCATTAAACAATTCCAGTGATATTGTAAATAGGTACCTACACCACCAGCTTCTTAGATAAAGATCATCAATAAAATTAAGTACCGTACTCAATGAATCATGTTAATCTTCATCAGGCATATTAGTCTAACTTGATTATAAGCATGAATCATGGGCTTTGTTTTAAGTGAAACATACAGTTTACTAAATTCTGAATACTGGTACCGGGTAACTTACTCATATTTTTAGGCTTTTTCTTATTTGTCTCTACATCTGGTATCAAACGTAAGACACGAATTATATTTGCTCCAGCAACCACCAATGACTTCTCCGATCTGTTGAAGAAGTTGCAAGTAATGGCGTGTTCTATCCCAGTGGCAGGATGGGTTGTTTTGCATATCGAAAACATTCTGATATGGTTGAGTTTCCTGAAAATAAAAAAAATATCAAGAGTTTTCGATGTGACTTAATTGGAATTGAACAAAAACTTAAAGTTACTTCAACACGAGTAAGCCGAACATTTTTAATTTTTACAAGTTGAGTTAAATACCGGTACAACAAGTGATGGGCTTCTGTTAAAATATATTGTTGAAGTGACAAATTATTTAACCTTGTTTTTACCAATATTTCCACTCAAACTCATACCATTTCCTAAAGAGCTAACTTACGGTACTGAACCATCCATCGACAACACTGCAGTAGGTACACAAGCTTAAGTTCTCAAACTATATCGTTTCTGTTCTGTGTGGGCACTACAAGTAAATTTAAAACTAACTCAACTCATAAAACAAAGATACTAACTTATGTGCCTTAATTTGTTGAAGATATTAACTTATGTCAATGATGAAGTTTCAACGGAACTTTAAAAAAGGCCTAGGCCTACCAATCTGTTTTTCTTTTCTTTGTGTTTTTTTTTAAGAGGTTGGCGGTCTCTTTTAACCATGCATTTTCCCGTTGACATAGACTATTAGCCTGAGCGTGGAATGTATCCAGCAAAGCAAGGGGTGAGCCGATACAGTACAAAGATGAACTGTACTGGTCAAATGTTTGCGGCAGTTACTAGGATCCACATACACGACATCGTCGCCTTGGGCCCAAGTCCAGCATCATTTTAAGTTACTGTGCTCGTTGATAAAAATTTAGGCTAAGTTATGTTTGATCAATTTGTATTTTAACCTACACAAACATTATTAACCTCATATCACCTAGTAAGAGCTGAGGTTTAGAGTTTGAGCGTCTAGTTGGCTGCACTTAAGTTGGCGTCCTAACCTACGTTTACTCACATACTGCAGTTTGGTTAAGGTTAGGTTTAGTTTAAGAACAGTTTCATTTTATGATCAGCTTGTAGTTAATGTATAGGTAATGTAAGTTACTGTATAATAGTAAATGTAGGATGTAAACTTAAGTGCAACCACAAAAGAAAACTAACCTACCCTGTTACTTTTAGAGGAACTAGACCAATAGCGTAAATAATAATTTACAAGGAAAATGCATAATTAATGCGAGGAAGGCCTAATTATTTTTTTCCATCCCAGGGAGCTTAAGAGCAAGGCAGTAGTAGACCTTCTGCCAAAGCCAGTAGGAGTAGACCTAGGACTATCTATTGTTGAGGAACTGGTAGGCCTAAGCTGTAACCAAATGTAACTAACTTATCGTTCTATCAGTTTCATATAATTTCAAAATTTTTAACCGCTAAACTAACTCAACTGATTCTATTGACTGAAGTTCAAAGCTAGCCTAGGCCTAAGTTATACTAATAAAATGATTATGCCTACCCTATTTATGATTTGAACAGAGTTCCAGAAAAGCCTCCCGGCTTTGATTAGAATCACTTTCACTTATGCATTTGCTTATAAAAAACACATAAGAGCCGCAAAAAGAGTAACCTCAAGTTAATGTAATTAGAGATCCTAAAACATTTTTTAACTGCATTGTTTACCGTACTCGTTTCTAATTCTATAAGATGTACATAAGGTTAAGGTTTAAAGTTAGTTTCGTAGCGTTTTGCTTGTTTTGTTTGTTTGAGACGTTTGAGACTGAGGACGAGGACTGAGACTAGGACTAGAGAGAGACTACTGAGAGGTTAGGTTGGTTGGTTAGATGCAGGCAGGCAGGTAGCATTGATATTTTGGAGCATTGAGTCATTGAGATATAAGATGTGATGTGATCTATACTATGAGAAAGCAACGTTTTTGTAAACTATAATTTGCATCATATGCCACTATGGAAATTTAATTTGGACATGTCCTGTCAAGAATTTAGGGAAGCTTTAGCTTTACGCTATGGTTATAGTTGCATTGATTATAGATCAATCGCAGGAGTAGGATTGTAAAAGATTGAATAAGACGGATGTAGAGCAAATATTTTAAACCTAACTCGTCTACTAAAAAATAACAGGTAAAGAAATCTCCTTTTTTATCTGTCACGTCAGGACGTCATTCTAAGAGGCATTTGTCAGTCTCCTACACAAAATCCCTCTCTTGTGAACTGGCGACCCCAGGGTAACCAAAGCCAACCTCCAGATCCCTCCTATTCTTTGTTCTGGGTTCGATGACTATCATTCGTCTTAACGTCTTCTTTTGGTGGCTCTTCTTTCTTCTGCACTTTTGTATCGAATGACTCCTTTCCTTTCTTCCTTTTTTTGGCTAAACCGGGGCGAATGCCACCAAGCTCCCCAATGGTGGTGCGTAACGATCTTCCAGGATACCAAGTGGCCACTTGGAGTAACTAGCTGTACCTCTGGGCATGTGGGGCTCTGCCTATGTACTCGATATTCGATTCCATAGCTACCAGTGGGAACCTTATGGATTCTAAAAACCAAAGACCCTACCAGAACCAAACCTCAACGTTGCATTGCCAACATTTCAGGGGCTACACAGAGAAACACCCACACCTCTCAAAATGAGGGCATCAAAAATGTAGGAGGTACTGATACTCTAAGAAGCAGAAATTTTTTCATTCTCCAGGATGTCTTTCCTCATCTCCACCTTTGGGTGTAAGTTGCTTCACATGGCTCGAGAGCCGGGAACAGTCACTCCTTCCGAAATCCAAGAACAGAATGGCTAAGAGTACAGCTCTGACCTGAAGTTGTAATGGGGATCTGTGTGTGGAAGGGTCAGCTGCTTTGTAGACATGATTAAATCACGACCGACTTACAGGACACTGTGATCACTTGCACACTTCCACTCCACAACAATTGCTAAGACAGAGAACACACCAGTTCTAACACTAGATGGTGAACTGCGGTTTGGATTTTAATTGCATGAGGGTATAAGCAATAGGAATCTATTCCATGAAGTAAACGGAGCTGTATCTGATGGGAGCCACACATAAAAAATAGCTTCCCATTTAAAAAAACTGTCTCAGCAATCTGACAATAACTTACATCCTCCCAGCTCGTCACAACCCTTACATGATGGGTAAGCGGTGGGAGTTAACTATATGTTATACTAGCAGAGTACCCGTCCTTCGTACGGGGTTGGCATATAAGTATGAAATGCTTATTGCAGTTATACTCAAGCTTTGCGTTTGCAGTGCGAGAGGACACAGTTTCATAACATTTGCTTCTTTAAATTCACGGTATATTTATAGTATTACACATCTACCATAGCCATAATGTTCTACCACTTCACCTAAACAAAAGAGAAAAATAAGTTATTAACAATTTTTAGAATATCACAAATTATTCATGAAGTCAAAAACATTAAGATAACTGTAAACAATCCTACTTTGACAATAATTCCCTTTAAATATGAATAATCATAAGGTTAACATGGGGAACTAAAGAGCCACTAGGGCGGAGCCCGAAAGGATTTTTGAGATAAGAATATGTCTATATGTTAATCGGGAATGTGAGCTATCATCATACCAAATTTCAGCCAAATCCGTCTAGTAGTTAATGCGTGATTGAACTTCAAACAAACAAACAAACACACAAATATTCACATTTATAATATTAGTAATATTTTATGGGTAAAATTGCAAAAGTTGCAATAACTTATTAACTGTAATTTGTACAGTATTAGAGGTTGTACTGTTTTGTTAGAAGTTACAATAACCATAACATACAAACTTTTTATCAAAATAGATTGAGCCATTAAAAAATATACTTTTATGTTATTTTAAGGGGTATAAGAAAATCACATAAACTGCAATTACTTTTTATCGAGATTTTATACAGTAATGGTGGTTGTACAGTTTTGTTTACAGTTAAAAGGGCCATAAGGAACTAAATTTAGATTATAATCACTTGGGTCTTTTGTAAAATCCAATTTCACCGCTACTTTATGTTTTTCACGGGAAAGCCGCCATTTGGCCATTATAAAATCTAAATTCCTACCCAAATGACAAAATCACCTGGAGATACCATAGATTAGTACTCCCAAACCAAAAATGTCATAAAAATCAGACCACATATAGTCTGTAGCTCTGTACACATCCAGACACATACACACACACATAATATTAACACCGACCACTTTTTTGTAGAAATGGTGAAGGAGTTCTACCGAAAAATGTTGCGTTGGTTGGCGTTGGCGTATTAATTTAATTCTATAGTAATCCAACTTATTAAAAAAAAATGTTTACCCAATAAAACAATGTAATTATGTATAATATCTTCTCTGATTTTATAACCAAACATGAAAGTACAATGATAAATTAATCACTAAATTATATTTTCAGTCTTTTGGTTGTTGATATTGTGAATTAAAATGACATCACAAATAATGGTTAGAAAAAAAAGAAAACAACTTTACAAAAACTGTACCTATTAGTTTGGCTTGGTTGAAATTTTGCTGTACAATTGAAATACCAGTTTTGTACAATATACCTATTTTGTGAAAAATTTTAATTTTGGATTAAATATCAGATTTCTAAAATACTATTTCTTCTAAGCATCTTAGCACAGGAAATAAAGGATTTTTTATTCTAAAAAGAAATCAAAAATGCTGTTAGCCCTTACTTCTAACAATTA